TAACTTACAAAATGAGCATAAGTATGAAAATCATAAGGTTTGTTAGTTGGACGTCACGGTATTTTGATTATTTTCATTAAGCATCAAACCTCCTATATTGAGATGAAAACAACGCTTTCTGTTAAATGAGCATTAACGAACTTTTAATTAGCACTAACCTATTATGTTAAGTGTTAGGAGTCTAATATTGAGCATCGTAATCTCTGTTTCATATCTTTTAATTTACTTTCTTTTTATATTTTTTCTTTTATAGAAACTTATTAAATTATATCTACAATCAATCTCTATGAAGTTCAATATGTGAATCTAATGTAATATGATACTTTTGAAATATGCATTGATATGACATTTTAAAAATGAGCATAACATCAGTATCGATTGAGCATATGTAACTTACAAAATAAACATTAATATGAAAATAATAAACTTTGTTAGTTGAGCATCAAGACATTTTCATTGAACATTAAAACCTCCTCTATTAAGTATTAGAAGCGTGCAATTGAGTACCGATTGAGCATTTGTAAATTATAAAATGAGCATTAGTATGACAATCATAAGTTTTTTTTAGTTGAGCGAGCATCAAAACGTTTTCATTGAGCATCAAATCTCCTCTATTGAGTATTAAAAACATACAATTGAATATCATGGTATAGTATGTGCTCTCGTATATGTAATTAACTCCTACTTCAATCTAATTTAATATGTAACTCTTGAAATATGGATTGATATAACATTTTAAAATGATCATAACATCAATACCAAATGAGCATACATAACTTACAAAAAGAACATTGATATGGAAATCGTAAACTTTGTTAATTGAACATCAAAACATTTTCATTGAGCATCGAACTTTCTTTTATTGAATTACAAATATAATCGTGTTCTTTTTATAATTAATGTTTACTCATTCACATTTATTTGTACTCATTTTTGTATAAAACAAAATTGAGTAATTAAAACACAATACTCCATATATAATAACTACTACCTCCGTCCCATTTTATGTGTCTCATTTGCTTTTGACGCAATTTTTAATAAAGTGGTTGAAAAGGTAAAAGTTGTGGTTGAGATTTGAGTATAATAAAGTGAAATTTTGTGAACCACATATTTATTTCCAAAAAGGGAAAGGAGACACTTATTTTGGGACAACCCAAAAAGGAAAGTAAGACAGGTAAAATGGGACGGAGGGAGTAATAAAGGAAAGTAAGACAGGTAAAATGGGACGGAGGGAGTAATAAAGATATATAATTAAAATAAAAAATAGAAAAATAAAAAATCAATACCTAAAACATTTTATATTACACCAATAAAAAAAACTAAGTTAGAAAGTTGATTGGAAAAAGAGAAAATCTGGGACATTAAGTAATATTTTATATTATAGATTTTCATAATAATTTAATTTGAAATTAAAACAAAAAATCGTTAAAGAAGAAAACAAAAACCTGAAAAGGAAGACCCCAAAGAGGCAAAGAAAACAAAAAGTTGTTACCGAATAAAACAAAAAAAAACAAGAACTGAAAACAGAGTAAGCAACGAACGAACCTAATGCTAAGCAAAAACCGTCGGATGTACATACCACCGGCCGTACGATATAATTTACTTTCCTCCAATCCTCCCCTCCATCCATTATCTTCTTGTATCTTTTCTTAAGTGTTAATCAAATTTAAAGTGACTTAATATTTTTTTTCATTTTTAGAGTTAAACTATACTTTGATTCATTTAAAGGTAAACTATACTTCATTGATTTCACAATTTACACTAATTATAGAAATTATTTATTTATTAACATATAACATCAAAATTTTAAATATTTATGTCAAATTTATTCCTCACATACGAAATTTGTTAAATATGATTTCATTTTTTTCCTTGACTGATTAGTTTTTATTTATAATGCGTTTAAGTGAAATTTGTATTACTTCTGCTAAAGTGTTCTAGTGTTTGTGACATGCATGGAATAATATATACTCTCTTTGTCTCAGAAAACTCTTTCTGGTTTGATTTGGATCAGAGTTAAAGAAAGTGAAAATAAAATTGAAATGCATGGTTGTGATTGAGTAAAAAATGTATATAAATGTTAGCCACACAAAACTTTCTTAAAATACAAATGATAATAATTTTTTAGACATCCCGAAAAATGGGTGGAAAGAATTTATGAGACGGAGAGAATAGTATGAATTCGCCCCACTCACTTCAATCCCTGGATACGCCACTGCATATACTAATGTAGACACATACATTGTAAGTAATGTGCTCAGAAGTGGAATATTTAATTCCAATGCAATACCTATATAATACTCCGTACGAAGTAAGAAATATACATTTACGTATTTTTAAAGTTTGAATAATACATCATTTAGAAGATATCAGACACCCGTGCGACCCCATTTTCTCCCTTCCTGTCTCCTCAGATCTTGACCGTTTTTATATTGACCGTGTGCTTATGTTTACAAGAAAAAAAAGCACTCCATCGAACACATGGGTAAGCAAGTTTTGACATTCCGACTGCATCTATTTTAGTATATCTCGGCAGACCAAGTTCTATTTCCTCTAAGAAATGTCCAAATCCCAAATAAGGTATTTTATGTTTTTATTTCTAAATAGGAGTAATTAGTGTTTGAAAAATATTGATATTGATATTTGATATGTGTATCATTAATATTTGACATATTTATATCCCGTAATATCAAAATATGATACTATGTATAATTTCAAAATGTGTATACGTTGTTTTTAAGAAAACATACTTCATAATACTTCACTTTGAAATTTCACGTTATTTTTACTCCTACTTTGAGAAATGTCCCTTTTCCTATTCAATATTTGCAGATGACTTTCTAAATTGACACTATAGAGATGTTTTTACTTGGAATGTAGTTTTCTGATCTGGTCACTTTACGTCTAATCCAGTCTAGTTCGAACTAGTTTGATAAATGCCTATTCCATATGTATTTTATAACTGCCGAGCAGGGTCTGGTTTGATTGGATAAACATGATTTGGTCTTGACTCATCTGACTTGGGTTTGAACCATTCCAATTGAAAACATTTTAATTAGTTTTACTAACACAATTTTCATTTGTGATGTTATGTGTTGGTGACTTGGTGTAAATACAAACAGATGGAGTCCAACAACACAGTTTTTGATCCAAATCTACGAATACATGAAGATGAGCACAAACATAGACGAATACACGCATTTTTATTTTTTACATGAAACCCCAATCCCGGGAAACCATGTATGTGACTTTTTTGCTGAGTAAAAACTCAAAAGCATGCTCTTTTATTAATACTATCCGTGAAATACACTTATAACAAGACATTATTAGCCATGTAATCCATTTTATATTAATTAGAATGTGGCTCTAGGGTTTAGAAGAGCCGGCCTTTTGGCCTCTTGAGCCTTAATGTGCCTGGGACTAACTATATATAGCTTGTTAAGGCAATGGCCATTATCCCAATTCAATGAGCAGCTATCTTGAATAGAGCTTAATTATTAGCTTACTCATAATGCATAATTCATGAGTATAATAAAAATGTTAAAGGAAATTACATGTAGTATGCTAATGTTATAGATAGAATATCTGTAGAGATAATGTATACATCACTAATGGGCCTTGAGGCACATGTAGTGTAATGCATTACCTTCTCTATTTACATACAATTTCATTCTTCACGTTCTCAGCACCATTCAAAATCTCTTCTTAAGGGTACACTTGATAGTCAAAGATGAGGCATAATATGCTCAAATAGAACTTTGAATGAATGGACTGAAGGGGGTGTTTTAGTGTTTAGTTGGAAGATGTGAATACATTTTATTAATAAAATATAGAAAAATATGTGGGAAATAAATAAAGATTTTTTAAAGTTGTACTTTAGTTTTTCAAGAAGTTTTACCCTTTTGAACACCCGTAATATAAGGATGTTAGGTCTAAATAAAGGTGTTAATTGAGATAAGAGTTTTTTCGATGAATTATATAAGATGACGTATATTTTATTGATATAACACTAGACTATACTCCGTATATCTTTTGAAGAAAAATGAGTAAAAATGTTGTTTGAGAAATCTTGCAAACAGACGGGAAGCTTTTTTTTTTTACCTAGCAAGCTTTATACACTCAAATATTTATCCTCATAGTATTTAGTTTTTGATAAATTGATCAAATAATAATTGAAAACAACATAGATTGAAGGGGGGGGGGGGGGGGATAACCAGTGTATAACTTAATGGTTAGTACATTTTACCTATTTTACACAAATACATTGGGATGCTCTTGATCGACCTAATGGCTAATTGGCTATACCTTTCTTTAACGCTAGGATGTCTCCAATCTGATTACAATAGACATTGTTTATATGGTCATATGTACTACTACCCTCCGTTCTTTAATTTTTGCAACAATTTGATTTTCACGTTTGCCAACGCACAACTTTGACTGTAATTATATTTAATTATGTACTAGTAAACAATATAAAAAGTTGATATTTTGGAAATTCCCATTGATAGGAATTCAATGACATTTTATACGTAATAATTTGATTATGTATATTAGTAGAAAATCGTGGTCAAAGTAAGGTCTGTGAATAATGCAAAAATCACAATATTGCAAGAATTAAAGAACGGAGGAAGTATTTATTTATAAAAAAATCCTTTTAGACCTGTCATGTATACATTTTTGTGTACACACTCTCTATTTTCTTGTATATATACATGCATTTCGTCTAAAAGGTTGAAATTTCTTTGTGTATAAACGTTTAAAAGGGCGTATATGTGTAATTATTTATAACAACAATGGGTTCAAATAATTATGCATATATATTGTGAAGAAAATATATTGTGATTTTACAAAAGTCATCACAAAGAATAAATTAGATGTTGTTGTGAAGTTTAATCCAAAGTTTCAGGTTTTAATCCAGAGGATTGAGTGGGAATAAAGACAAATTTTAAGTGTGATTTGTATGGTCTCACTAGAAATATAAACTTTTCCATATATACAACAAAAAGTCAAAAAAATGATGGGAAACAATAAGATATGGAAAAACGATTCTCGTGCTCCAAACACGCCATAAGTCTCTGTATAGTGAAATATCCCTTCTGCCCTACGCCGTCTTCTACCTTCCGCTTGATCATACTTCCCCTATTTCAATTTCGGTACTGCTTTATAAATTATACTCCGTATTATATCTATAGATAGTCCATATACACACACACACACATATATTCACATTTCATATAATTTATTCATATTCGTTTCGTGACGAAAAAGCTCTCGTTTTTGGGTGTGTGTGAGACAGTTTTGTATCTCTATCAGTGCTCTCTTAGCAGTTGAGAGTTTGCACAGAGATGGACGGTGGCGGACAATATAATCCTCGGACTGTAGAGGAGGTTTTTAAGGATTACCGGGGCCGCCGTGCTGGAATGATCAAAGCCCTCACTACCGGTATTTTAGCTATTTTACCCCGCGGTGGAATTTCGTTCACTGTGCATTAATCTCCACAACGCTGTTTGATTTGTTCCCATATACTTATAATTTTGTGCGGTTTGAATCTCGCACTTTTTGGTAACTTATTGCCTTATTTCGACAACTTTGATCGCAGATGTGGAGCAATTTTATCATCAGTGTGACCCAGGTGAGTTACCGAGTGAGGGATCTTCGTTGTTGTTCTGGTTCGCATTAATGCGTGTAGGTTTACGCATGATTTTAAAGTGAACTTGCGCGTGTGTGTGTTTTTTAGAGTGGTGTTGACTTCTCAGAGGTATGCTCTTGAAATTGGTTGAAAGCCTGAATCTTTTGGGTCATCTGAACTTGTCTTCTTTTAAATGTGTGGTACTAATTTGTTTTGTGTGTTTCTGCAAAGGAATAGTTTTTGAATTTGCTTTATCCACTCCTTAATTTTCTCATACTTTGGATTGATTTGAAGGGAGTTGTTGTAGTAAAATGTTTGACCTAGTATAGTAATTGAAGCTTATGGTTTGTGGGCATTCATGTTTGCACTGACTTAGCTTCATCACACCCTTTGGACCAGTTGCGATATTAACAAATGGGAGTGTTCCATATCTTGATTCATGTTTATCTGGATGTGCAAAACTTTCTTTTAACACATATAATGTATACATAGAATACACATTTTTCAGTAAATTTAATTAAAACAGTTCGGCTTAACTGGCCACTGTTGCTTTATGTGTTTCCAGTTGTGTGCTTTTTCATATTTTACATTACATTGGCCTGTAATAGGCTTTTTAAATTAATGGAGCAGATTCATATTTTATTCATTGGCTGCAGACTTCAATATAAAGTCTCTAACTGTTATGTAACATAGTTGAGAATGAGGTTCTCCGAAGAGGATTTTTATTTATTTACGACAAAGCATGACCTAATGTGGTATATACATTTATTTGTGGCATTTATTTTCATCTTATTTGCTTACTGTCTCGCATTTTTTGCCTCATTTTTTGGATGAAAAGATTCAAATGAATGACACCAAGGAGGTGCTAGAAAACGTTACATGAGAGTTTTTGTTAGACTTGCAGCCTTGAAATGCATCCTTGCATCTCTTTTTTAACTTAAATTTGCTTACTCCACACCTGAATATTGTATAACAAACCAAAGTTCTTGATCTTCCAATCGTGATTCTCAATGTTGGTAAGAAGTGTGCCTCTATGTGTCATTTCAATTCACCATTTACCTGCCATAGGTCCAGCTATTTATCCTCGAGGCACAAAAAATAGAGTGCAAATATTTACGTGATATCTTTGTTTTGTTATTTATGCTTATAATGGTGTGGCTACAAATGACTCATTTCCTTTACGCTTATAGGGAATTATGTTTGTTTTACGATTGTGACAATTTTTTTATTCCATTTTTTGTGCCTTTTTGGTTTAGTACTTTTGAGTACACAATTTTTCCCCTTTAAAGTGTTATTTGGATAAAATGATTTAATATGTTGAATATTTTGGAAGGAAATATGTTTGGTAAAACCAATTTCAGCCAAATAAGCAAGTCAAAGGCTTAATTGTCTTATTCAAATGAAAGCAGAATAAGCCAATAAGTGCTACAAAACGGGGCCTTCATATAACACATTGTGTTTGGTGGCATCTTTTTCCTGTTTTGGAGAGCTATCAGTGGCATACATCATTCAGCACTTCAGTGCACTTCAGTGTTATTCCAAGTTTTACCGATGGAGTGATATTAGCATACATTGTTTGGACAAAATTTTTACTATGTGAATGTTTGAAAGTTGTGAGCTTGACAACCCTGCAGAGAAGGAAAACCTTTGCCTTTACGGATTTCCTAGTGAGCAGTGGGAAGTTAATTTGCCTGCTGAGGAGGTGCCTCCAGAGCTTCCAGAGCCAGCGTTAGGTATTAACTTTGCGAGAGATGGTATGCAAGAAAAGGACTGGGTGGCACTTGTTGCTGTTCACAGTGACGCATGGCTACTTTCTGTTGCTTTCTATTTTGGTGCCAGATTTGGTTTCGACAAAAATGACAGGTCCACATCTCCACTTTTAATACGTTTTTTATATTGAGTGAAGTATTGTGAGGATTTTCTTTTGGTATTATTATATTTCATTTATTTTATGGAATTGAAGGTTATTGCCGTGTATTACCCATGATCTCTCACTTATTGGCTGCTACTAGGGTGTGGTTTCATGCAGGGAAAAATCATAGAGATGACTTAACTGCACCAATATTTTATGGGGGTATTTGTGTTCTTTCATGCAGGAAACGGCTCTTCAGTATGATAAATGATCTCCCGACACTGTTTGAAGTGGTAAGCGGAGCTGCCAAAAAGCAAGTCAAAGACAAATCATCAGTCACTAACAACAATAGCGGCAGCAAATCAAAGTCAAACTCTAAGGTACACTTCTCTGACTCAAAAGAGATTACACTATAATTAACTTGTGAGTGACGGTCTCAGACCCTAGTATCACTTTTCAGTTCAATACTTGTACTTTTGAGCTAAAATCTTCAACTTTTGAAAAAACATGTTGAATACAGCTCTGTGACTCTCACACAAGTGTCGCTAAAATTTAAAAACAAACAAACAGAACTTTTCTTCTACTTGATTATAACTGGTGGTTGAGTGCATTTGGGATGACTTGTCTTCAAACAGTGCTTTTATAGGAAAAAGGGTACTTTTACCTAAAAGACAAGCGTTCGATAATGATTTTTTAGATAATTAGTTGTCCTAAATAAGACATAAAATAATCATTTTCCTGACTACTGCGTTGTTATTTCTAAGGTGCTATTTATTTGGTGATAGATAAAGAAAACCTTTTATTAAACACAGAAGATCATTAAATAGAGCTCATAAAAAATAGATCATGGTGGTAGTGATTTTAAGAAAAAAACCATCACATAGGTAAAAATTACACTTTTTTTAAAGGTGCTTTTAATTCCGGAATGGGCCCTTTTTATGTTTACTTAAGAGAGTACATCATTGGAGCTTTTGTATAATCAAAAAACACATTTTTTTGTAAAAAAGTAATACTTTTAGTGCTTAAATGATAAAGCACATATTGTAACGAAAGAACTTTTATATCAAACGGGCTGTAGCTTTGCTTCTGGTTCCTCAGTTCCTCACTGTCCGTCCATTCCTAAGTCTATCTAGACTTTTTTTTATATCAGTCTAGCCTCATATTGGAATCTTCACAGGCTAAATACACAAAGGTGCAACAACCAAAGGACGAGGAAGTTGATGGATTTGAAGAAGAAGAGGAAGAAGATGGAGAGGAGGATGAGCATGGGGACACCTTGTGTGGGGCGTGTGGGGAGAACTATGGCACAGATGACTTTTGGATTTTCTGCGACATATGCGAGAGGTGGTTTCACGGCAAGTGTGTGAAGATCACTCCGGCCAGGGCTGAACACATAAAGCAGTACAAATGCCCTTCATGCTGTAACAAGAGGGCACGACCTTGATGGTGATGGTGATGATGATGATCTCTGCTCCACGACACATGCTGGGTGTTTTTAACTCATTGTATTTGTCTGGTGTTGCTGAGCTTCATCTTTATATCTCCTTCATCCATCTCACAGCATCAGCTAGGCATGTGTATGCGAGTTCTTTCTGGTCTTTACTCTTGGTTATTTTCAGGATAATTTATTTAATATGTAGTAGTTAATTTGGAAGTTGGACATAGTTACTTTTAGTCTTTGTAAGGACAGTTTGTTTCGGTGATTGATTAATGACATCTCATATTGCAATCAATAATGCCTCTCTCGGTTTCAGTACAGTTGGCTCTGCAATCAGCATAGTGCATCCCATGTTATATCAAAATTGAAATTCTCAGTCCGTATTTTTTAAAATGTTTTGAGCTCGCATGGAGGTGATGGAGCGCGGAATTCCAAATTGTGATGTGAATTTGGGACGAGAAAGTCAATTTTCCTTTTTTATTTGTTATGACTATGATTAATGAAGAGATATGTCATATTTGAATATATTTTTAACAACAAAAATATAATGGTGAGGTGTAAACTCAACTTTCTGAAGTCCTATTGTGTTGTAAACGTGGGGTGCAAATAGGGATGGACCGGGCCCGGTCGGACCGGCCCGGACCGCCACTGTGCGGAACCAGCCCGACCTGGCTGGCTGGGACGGGGGGGTACGGACTACGGGATGGGGTTTTGATGGACCGGGGCCCGGGATCGATCCGGGCCAAAAATGTTTTTTATTTTTTTTATTTTTTCGAGTGCATTGGGTGCTAGGCGGGTGGGGCTGGGTGGTTTTGGGGTGGGGGTAGGAATAAATAAGAAAAACCAAAGTTTAAAAAAAAGGTCCGGGCCCGTTGGACACGGGCCCGGCCCGGTCTTGGAACCTACCCGGGCCGGTACCGAGCCTCCACTACCCATACCCAGTCCCGCCCAAGGCCCGACCCAAGCCCGGTCCATCCCTAGGTGCAAAAGCATGCAAAGATGAAAGTTCAGGACTTCAGGGTCGACTCAAACGAGTCATTTCAGATCATCTGAAGTTTGGGTCATTGGATGGCTTGAAATTTGAACTGTGATAGATAATACACGTGTTTGTGGAATTGTGGGTAGTTCCACGGCTAGGGTTTTGGCCATTGGAACACAACTTATAGTCCATAGAAGTAGCATCAACCAAACCAAGTTTATTTGTCCACCTCAACAAATTTCGAAAAATTTAAGGTTCAGGCAAATAATGACGAAAAAATGGATATTTTTTCAATAATACAAGCATGTATTAACATTCTGAAATAATGATAAACATCAGAGCGGCATACACTTTTTCTTGCAACTCAAAAAAAGCATGTGCAGAAGGGCCAAAAGAATAATGACCACAAATTGTTTCCGGAAACAAAAGAAACCTATCACTCAATCCATCTTTCCCAGCTGAAGGCCTGTCATACATATCTCCCATGCAGCTTGCCTTTGTTTATTTTGCATAATCATTACACGTTCGTCCGTGCTACATCAATCTGATTGTATCATTTGGGATGATGACATTAGGATTCCGGATATGAGGATTCAAAGCAGCAATCTCCTTCCATCTACTCCCTGTTCCATACACACGGGACGAGACACTCCACAGAGTTTCTCCGGGCTTTACAGTAATCGTCGTCCCCCCTGGATTTGAAGAAGCTGCCCCTTTATTACCACTGCCTCCACCACCTTTTGACTTCATAATTGGGTGTTTATTGTTCTTCTTTGCCATCCCATTAGCGAGCAACCAACGAGACCCACTCTGTTGCTGAGTCGTGGACCCCCACCCCCATGGCTTTTTCTTCTTAACTCCCTCATCGCTGTTTAATCCTGCAACATGCACTTCTGTTATTTTGTACTGCGGCACTAAATGTTGTTCCTCCTCTTTCACAATTCCAGAAACTGCTACCGTTTCTTCTTTTTCTTCTTTTTCTTCTTCTTTCTCGTCTTTTTCTCCATCTCCACCATTGTTATTCCTTCTAAGTTCGTACACGGAAGAGTAGATCCTAGGCTTAGGTGGCAGGAATTCTCTTTCCACCTGAACTAGGGCAAGCATGGGTCGTCCAACTGGCTCATAGTCTCTCAAAGGATCGCGAAGCTGAACCATCAATGCCACTGTGAAGTTGTTTCCCAACAAACCGAACGACTTCCTCTTTCCCTTACTGCCACGTCCTTTTGATCCTCCGCGTATCAGCTCCATTGAAGTAGCATGGTGAGCCGCGAGCAGCTTCGAGGTACGTTCGGTGACCTCATCCTCATCGTAGATCTCTCCAGAATCTAATTTCATCCACTCATCAAGGGATAAAGACAGCCCCATCAACCCATCTATGTCATCTTTGTCATCACAGGTGGCGGCGTCTTTGATGTCAAGAAGGTGTAACCCGCCCGCTCCTTCCAGACCGGTGGACCCGCCGAAACTGACCATACCCTCAAAAGCTGACTGTGGGGGGGTTATGTTGGAAGGTGCATCTTCATTTGACATGTCCGATTGTATTCTCAAACCCTCAATTAAAAGGGATTCGATTTTGTCAGTGGCCAAAGGAGCAACGTCTTCCAGGGAAATGTATTCTGCTTCCTGTTTCTTTCCGTTAGACTGTCGGTCATACTCATGCAGATTCCCTTTAATTGCCTCAGAGACACTTGACATGGTATGCCTTGCATCAAATTCCCCATGCCTGAAATATGTAATATGTATTCTATTGAGATAGAGGGAGTAGCAAAGGCGTCTATTTTTGGAATAAAAGGTTCATGCTCTACCTAAGAAATGACTACAAGGGCAGAACAAAAAGTAGCACTGTTTTGCGTCAGACCAATTTACGGTGAATTATATCAATTTTCAGCATAGAGCTACCACCACACACAAAATTTCAAGCGCGTTTCATCAAGGTACACTTTAAATCTGAGAAGGTATAACTCTTTCTAAATCATTTATTATACTTAAAATCTATAATTCCCGACCACAAAAGAGAAGTCTTTTTTATCAAGGTACACTTTAATTTTGAGAAGGTACAACTTGTAAATCATTCATCGTATTTATAATTTTATATTTCCCAACAAAAAAAAACCTGTTTCATCAAGGAGATGGTACAACTCTTGTCAATCATTCAACATCCTTATCATTTAAAATTTGCCAACCAGCACAAACAATGTCTTGTTTCATTAAGGTACACTTTAATTTTGAGAAGGCACAACTCTCTAAAATTGATCATACTAATAATTTTATTTTTTTAGTATTAAAAGTAATTATAAAAGTAAGTATATATAATTATTTAGCATCATAAGTGTAATTATTTTAGGTAAAATTAAAAAAAATAAGTAATTATATACGATTATTTAGCATTGTAAGTGCAAATAATGTCAGCGACCTCTGGGATTAAGTAGTTCATAATGATGATGATTTGTTTGTTTAATTAAATGTAGCATTCTTACTTTGTCCAGAAAACATTTTACTTTAATGTTGTTGGAATATTTACAATAAACCAAACAAAATTGGCTTCTTTTGTTGAACTAGGACTCATTCTGGGGAAAAATAAGTTTGAAACATGACTTTTACAGACGGTGGATGTTAAACGTTAGGTGAAGAACAGCCACTTTCTCAAGACTATTCATGGTGAGATGAAAAGTGATACGACTTGGTGAAATCGTCCCATGCATGGTTTTCACCATCATCATTGAGACCTTAATCTTAACCAGTTAAGGTTGGGCGTATAAAATTCATAGTGTCAATTAATTGTAGAAAACTAATTGACACTATCAGTTCATTCATAGAAGCAAGTTTTGTGAAAATAAAATGACAGACCTTTCAGATCCTTCCAAGGTGGAAGTCACTTCCCAGGCAATTTGTTGAACAGTCTTCCCAGTTATATCTTCCAACGGCATCAACTTATTAGCTTGCATTGATAGTTTCTCAATACCAATGGCAGCCAAATGCTGCAGTATGTCCATGACACCAGACCCCATCTCTGCCGGGACCACCACCGGCTTAGAAACCTGCATGCTCAGCTTCCCTCCACTTTTCGCCTTATTAAAAAGAGCTGGGTTCATCGATCGCAGAAAGCCTCCGTCTTTGGTCTGAAGAAAGGGACCTAACCCTTCTCCAAGAGGGGGTAATCCATCAGCGTCATCATGTGGTTGTACGTCAATCGGGCTGCCAAATCCGCCTGAGCTTTTACGAGGGGAATGATGAAAAGCTCTTTCATTGAGACCCCATTCATGCATCAAGACCTCTGTCTCCAGATCCTCCAACATAGATGCCTTTGTTTTGTTTCTTGTCTCTGTTTCTATCTTAGGTGGTGTAAGAACATCATAAGACTCAGCGGCGGTTGGGAAGAAATCAAAGTCCTCAATAGAATTCCCAATATCTATTTCACCACTGTTAAACAAGGAACAGCCTGTGGCAAGAGCATCCTTCTCAAATTGCCTCAATAGCCGCTCTCTGGGTGAATCCGGCTCACTTTCAGAACTCATAATGCCGAACGGGCTATGCTCTATACCAAGCATGTCAAGAAAGTCAGTGGCCACGGATTGTGTCACATCATCTAGGCTGTGGGATTTCCCTTTCTTGACAGGTGTATAACTTTCTTGATTTAATATTTCACTTTCACATTGGGAATCTGACCCTTCATTTTCAATGTTTGAGAGGATGGCCAATGCAGAATCCAATTCGTCCATAATTGATTCTTTGGTGCATTTACTCTGATCTTTGACTTCCAAATCACATTCATGAAATTCATCTTTGATTTCTCCAGGCAAGATTTCTTCAGTAGAGACCTCATGAGCATTGTCAGATTCAAGACAGCCTTTTACAGAATCAACAATTTGAGTTTCTTGTTTTTCCTGTTCCTTAAAAGAAAGTTCTAATGGTTGGTCTATAAAAGAAAACTTGCCGTCACATTCATTTTCAGATTTTTTCTTTGAATCCGGTTTTAAAGACTCTGGATCATCATTCGGGGCTACATCAGACTCAGGTTTCTCATTAACTGATGATTCATCTAACTTCTCTTCATCAAGTTTCCTGTAAAGCACATTCACTGACTCAGACAGGTCTGACATTGACACAGAAACCTCATGAAGATCCTTTATGTCTTCAGCCGACCATTTTGAAGCAGCAGAAGTTGCTGGCAGGCTCCTGGGACGCCTTTCTAAGGTCGTCTGCTTCTCACAAACCTCCTGCCTGGTAGAATCATTCCCATGAAGTACATAATACCCAAAACTTACATTTACATTTGCACCCTTAGCCTTCCCTGATAACCTGTAACTAGTAGTCCACTTTCCAGAGCTCTTCTCATCTTCCAATTCCTCTAAAGTAAGTGGGAGTAATCTGGCAAGATCCACCCGGTGCTTCCCTA